TGATTTAAAGGCAAACCCAGCTGCGCCTCGGGTGCTATCCTGCACTCTCTAGACACCTGTTTTTTATAACACATTCATTTTTATGATAAATTCTAGTGAGGCTACTGAATTTCCATGTATAGTTTAATTGCCAGCGTCCTAACTCTGTAATAACTGCCAGCATTCTTACCACTTGAAATTTGAGAATTTATGTTTACACATTGCAACACAGCAGATGTCAACATAGTCAGCTATAATGTGAGGCCCGAAGTAAGGAATAGCTATGTTGTGTAACTTTTTTTTTTAGTTTCTTCTATGTATACTTACACTTGTAAAATTTATTTTTAAAAAAATGTAGACGCTTTTGAAAGCTCCCGAATGCTCTGTGACAAGTATTATTTAACTTCACCAGAACTGAAGCTTACTCAAGTGAATGGTAATGTGTTTTTAATATTTTATTTGCAAACTAATGTCCTATATCAAAAGCCAAATTGCTTCTAATTCCTCTTAAAGAAAGGATCTCCCTCTGTTCCTCTTCTAGATTATTTGTCAGTCCTGTCTGGCTGGTGCATATCTTTTTGAAGCTAATCTATCTGCTGACTCAAATGCATGCTCTTCTTTCTGCCTCATTGGTTGAAATCCCAATTACCTCAATTTTTTTCAGTTTCATGAGGGAGAATGCTAACTTTTGTGAGGTATGGTTCTTGTAAATACTGAACAGAACAACCATTGCTCTGTATTCATTTAAAAAGCAAGTATAGATTTGTTGCTAAGGAAGAACTTCCTTTGCACATAGTGGTGACACATTGCTAAATCCAGGAATAGCTGAAATGCCTACTACCGATGCATGTTTTGCAGCCTGGGTGGTCCACTTCCTTTATGCATCAAATGTGTTTTAAGACAGGACAAAACTATAGGAAAGCTAAAAGCTGAATAATTAGAAGTTGCTTAAAAAGAACTGTGCATGAAATGGCACTTACCTCTGTTGGTCAAACACTTAGGGTGGTTAATTTCCTTTTTTTATTTAAAAAAGGCACAACACTTTATCATCTTTTCTGTAACATGACATTATTATTTGCTCATAGTAGAACTTGGGAAAACAAAACCAACAGTTCTTCTTCCCCTTTTTTAAAAATGTCCTTGTTTTCCTCTTAGGAAAAGTGCCAGGACAAGCCATTCACATAGTGTATGTCCCTTCTCACCTTTTCCACATGTTGTTTGAGCTATTTAAGGTATGTATGGCTATGGTTAGATAAGAGTACTTCCCTCCCACAATCTCCTGAGCCAAGAACTTATGTATTTCACTTGTATAACCAAAACTGAAGAGATTAAAATTTTGCTTGGTCTATGTCCTACTTGGTAGGGCTCTCCCCTCTCTCAAATGTGAAGCAGAACACTTGTGGAATGTGGTGTATGTATGGTCCTGCAAGAAAAGATGAGGCAGCAACATAAGATTGCAGAAGTTGGTGAACTGGCTGAAATGGCTTCTTTCTCTCAAGCCATTTTCTGGGTCATGGCTGTTGTTATACTGTCTAAAAATAAATCTACTCTTTAAAGTTATAATGTTTGAGCTTCTCATCAGGCAGGTATAGCTTAGTTATTATAACTGTATTTTGGGTACTCCTTCCAATTTCTTCAGTCCCAGATGAAGATACACTTCATTTCAAGCTATTTCTACGTATAAGTTTTCCTTAGTTTCTGCTACAATAAATCACCAAAACTAGGCACTGATGGAATATGGCAGATTGATTAGTCTTTCCCACCAAGTTCCTGTGCTAGGCATGTGTATCTTGAGAAACTTCAATATAATGAGTGCACCAGTAAAGACCTTTTGTGGCTGATACCAACGGCTGATTATTAACCAGCCATATCAGCTGATGCTGATGTGCAGCCCA